AAAAAAAAAAAAAAAAAAAAGATACGAAATTCCTGAACAACTTTTAACCTCAATTCTACCAGACCCCACATTCTGAGTGACGCTATAGACCTAACCGAAACTATCCTTAGCTGTGTTCTCAATACCCAGGCTCTACCCGGCCTCACGCCCCCAACATGCTGGGATACAGGGCGGCGCCACCCACCCCAGCTCAGCTGTTTTTTCCCAGTGAAGTTGTTGGTAAATAATGCTGACTTTTCAGTAAATTGTACCCGTTTTCCCTTTGTGTATTCCTGCCATTGCTATCTGATTTTCCTTACTGACATTGGAAGAAGAATGGCTACACGGCCAAGGTGCCAGGGTGCCAGGGTACCAGGGAGTCAAGGTGCAAAGGTGCCAGGGTCCTGGGGTGCCAGGATGCCAGGGTGTCAGGGCGCCAGGGTGCCAAGGTGCCAGGGTGCCAGGGTGTCAGGGTACCAGGGTGTCAAGGTGAAAAGGTGCCAGGGTCTGGAGTGCCAGGATGCCAGGATGCCAGGTGCCCGGGTGCCAGGTGCCCGGGTGCCAGGTTGCCATGGTGCCAAGGTGCCAAGGTGCCAGGCTACATGAATGCTACTCTCTTCTGCCTAATAGCAGTTGTGGGCATGATGACCCACCTCACTGTGAACCAACCGCTGATCTAACATAATTGCCCAGAGGGTAGTGAAGGTACACAAGTGATTGGGTCTTCAGTATGGGAAAAGATGTTACCATGGTACATCCCACGAGGCTGCATTGAGGAGTGATTGGATAAGCTGTTCACTCTGTCCTGGTGTCACTCGAGCCAAATTTGATAAGCTTGTCACTCTGTCGGCAGAGCTTTTCACTGCGTTCTTTCGCGGAAATTCAGAGAGGATGGAACCTGACCGTGGGCCAAAGGGACAACGGGGAAAGTGTAGGAACTGTAACTGATTTCTAGGACTCCGGTCTACAGCTCAGTCCTAGACTCAGCGACAGCTCCCTCCAACCTCCCTGGATTTCTGTGAAAGGTCCATGGCAAGCCCTTGACACCTCTTTTCTTTTGTTTTTTTCACAAGGGGTCAACCACTAAGGCGGCTGTAATACGATTGTATCCATCAGGATTTGAACTCATGGTCGGTTTATAAACGGTAACGTTTGTGAACTGTTCAGCCCTCCAGGCAAGGGTGACTGCGTCCTGAGTGGCAAGGTGCCAGATGTCTGGGTACCAGGGTGACAAGGTAGCAAGGTGACCGGGTGCCAGGGCCCTGGATTAGTTGACTTGTTGGGCTGCATTAATATGGATGTGGGAGCTCTAGAAGCATTTTTCAGGGCCAGAGTGAAGGTGTAATTGGGTACTTCAGAGCTGTCGGCTGTGTGCTTCCACAAGCCACATCACTGTCATAGTATCCCTGTGTTACCGCACTAACCCACACAAAAATTTCATGTGGGGTATAGCAAACCTCCAGAGACATATAAGTCAGACCATGCCATAGATAGCATACAAGTGTTCTTCTGAACTGGGTGGAGAGGATTACAAACATGAAAAGTTCATGTAAAGGATGATGGTGAAGTGGGATGCACCTCGCAAGGTAGTCTACAGCAACAACCAAAACCAGGAGAGGAGGGATAAGACTAGAAGCGATGTGCTAATCATGTGAATTCGTCTGGTGAACTGCTGTGGATTGACTTTCGTCATGGTTATGCATGTTGAAGGAGGGGGTGAACCAATGTACGTACGGGGTTTGGTAATAAATAAGTGTCGGCCATGATTTCCATGATGTAGCACTTAATATGTTGGCATTGAACTCAAACAAAAATGTGGGCAATGACTGAAATGATGTGGCAGTTAGTTAACTGATGTGGAACATGAGCTGTTGATCAGAATTGGCATACGTATCATTTGGTGCATAATACATGTAAAATACGTACTACGTCCCCTCCCCTAATGTTCTCGTATTTGTCTTATTCGGTAAGGATTTAAACTCATGGTCTGTTTAAGCTGCATGTGCGTAGAGTACCGTTCACCGACTGTCTTCACCCGAACAGAACGCCCGGTCATTATAGCAGTATTTGGTGCAACTTTCAGTCTACATACAGCGATAATGACCGGGCGTTCTATTCGGGTGAGGACGGTAGGTATATGCATCCCTTCCTTGACCTGGACTTTCAAGACAGGGTCGGTTGATGTGTCTGCTTGGCTAGTAAGCCACCTTGTCGTATCCTCTGCAAAGCCCTTTGTGTGAAAGAGTGGGATGGTGTGGCACCAGTTGATGACTTGGGACGGCGTGTGGGATCATGCTGCTGAATAACCAGAATAGAGGCCATCATTCTGATGTCAGGAGCAGCCAGAGCATCACCGATAGTGCCAAGTTCATTGGCATCAACCCAATTTGCGCTCTTATTCTGCATTGAGAGATCTGCAAGGACATGTGCAGGGCTCCTTCTGCCAGTCAAGATGAGATCCAACTTCTCCTCCTTCGCCAACTGCACTGCAGTCCCTGCAACATCATCAGTTTCAATATCCTCAAAGATGAACTGTGTCGAGCTTCCGGAACTATGTTTCCGATTGGCAAGCGCTCTACTCTTCTCCTTTAGAGCTTCCACGATCAGGTCATCCTTAGATACGTCTTCCTTGGCTTTAAATGACTCATTAACCCTGATGTTTGCATTGCTGAACTCCTGAGGGGTATCACGATTCCCAGACTGCTGTTCAACAGCACTGATGATCCTTTCTTTCCCCTCCCTCCTGAAACTATCGAGATTGCCCGCATACTGCTGTTCAGGTCCCTTACCAACATTGCTTGGTGCCGACTGCTCGGCAAACATCTGTTTGCTCTGACGGAATCTTATGACACGTAATACAGTGTTTGGATGCTCCAGGGTATGGCTGGCGAATGTCAGAGCCTCCTGATCATCTGCTCCTCCAACAAAGAAAACGATGATGTTTTGTACTGCGTCCATCCGCTGTCTGTGGTCAGACCCCTGAGGACCATGGCCTATCAGAATTCCGATGGAGCAGGGAGCGTCCTCGAGAATACGGAGATTGACAGGGCGGTACCCAGGATGGATGGTATCCAGAAGGCCTTGAGGGCCCCTGTGCCTATGGAAAGGCAGGATGACCATATTTGCCTTTTCCTCGGCCGCAGCAGCACAGATATCCTCATGCATACTCTTGGTGCTGGAAATGGCTCTCATTGTCTTGACAGGTATTTTTGTAAATCTCCCATAGGTTTGGAAAATCATCCCCACATAATCAGGCTCCTCCACCTCATCGTTGCTGAATGATTTTTGTCCTTGGTTAACCTGCGACATCAGCATTGCTGATGATGGGCTATCCCAGTACTCAATCAAATGGAGAGCACACACACAGAGGGGCACCCTCCCTCCCGTTCGCTCCGACACCATATACAGCAAATTCACCAAAGCCGGGACGTCACGTAACCCATGCACACACACAAACAGCTTGAGCTCCTCTGCAGCCGCCTCTTCCTCACCGTTAGTACTCGTATGTCCTACCACAACGGCATTGCTGATCATCCTCGCTACTTCATCATGCTTCCTTACCACAGGCTTTATCAGATACCTAATGATTGGTGCTGTCATGAAAGTAGTGAACAGTGCCATGATGACCATTATTGTGAAAAGCGTATCTCCAAACACATTCTTTTGGTGAGCAATGTTCAGGATTATGACTGTAATGAGCCCTCGCGTGTTCATCAGCACGCCGAGTGTAATCGCTTTGTGTGGGCTAAGCTTAGTCAGCCTGGCAGCAGCATACACTCCCCCAATCTTCCCCGCAATCGCTATCAGAGTGATGAATATTAGGGCCGCAAACATCTTTACGCTTCGGATATTTTTAACATCCGTCTTCATACCCGAGCTCACGAAGTACAGCGGCAGCATAATTATGACAACAAAGTCTTCCACTTTCGATATGAGGGATTGCTTGAGATTCTTGTGCTGCGGAACGATCAAACCAAACACGAATGCACCGAACACTGCGTGCATGCCGCAAAGGTCGGCGATGAAGGAAGCCAGTATACAGAGGGCCAATGACATGGCAATAACATGCTCAGGGATCTCTTGACATGGCGGAAGGTTCCAGATCAGTCTCCTCAACAGTCGTTTTACGCCATAGAACATAACGAGAAAATACATAGTGCCAAGGAGTAGGTAGTAGACACAAACTAATGGATTTCCTTCCGCATTTGTCAAAGTTATGGCCAATGACAGAAGAACCCAGCCCATCAGGTCGTCGATGGCTGCATTGGTCATCGCTAGTCCGCCCAAGTCTGTCGTCAGGACCATCGCATCTGCCAGAATGCATGCAACCTCTGGCACACCCGTGATGCACATCGACACACCGGTGAAGACTGCAAAGGCCCCAAACGACACCCTGTCTTTCGGATTCTTCGAACCCTCCATGAGATCATCATCATTGTACAGATAAACGGCTAAACCTGCTCCAAATGCAAATGGCACAAGCAGCCCAGCTATAGAAACTGCAATTGCCACAGCGTTTATATGAGTGGTCTCTGGATCGAGCTCCAGAGCTATAGTAAACAGGAAAAAGATCAGACCAATTTCTGCAAATACATCAAGCACAAGCATGGAATCCTCATGGAAAATGTTCTCTGTGAAGCCTCTGATCTGTCCAAACCCTGTGGGACCCAGCAAGATACCTGCTATAACATCTGCAATGACGAGTGGTTGTCGAAGTGGCCGCAGAAGCTTTGCCAGTGAACGCGTCAGCGCAAACACCATGCACAGTTGAACGAGCAACAGCAGTGCAGCAAATTTCAGTGGATTGTGTGGTGGGAGGAGGATTCCATCAGACGTCACCCCCGCTGCCATGTTCACATCCGCAGCTCCTGCCTGCCTCACCCGCCTGCCTCCTCCACCTGCCTGTCTGTGCCTACATATTGTAAACACACAAGGTTCCTATCTAGTATCTAGGCTCAGTATAGAGGTCCATTTCTCTTGTCTTCCCTTCCTCTGGCCCTCATTGCTCATTCCTTCTTCGATGGAAGGTGAGCTGTCCGCGGCCAACCGCATTGCTGGTAGTTCTTGTCTGTCCCCTACCCCTCTGTAAAGAGGGTTCAGCTCCACTCCCCAGCCTTGTGGCGGAATGGTACAAACATGACGGAGCTGTTGATTATAAAAACTTATTAAAAAGTGATACAATAACGTTAGGGGCTAGCGCCCTTTTTTTTCCTTTGAAAAAAAAAAGGGATGGTTCAGTTCCACCAATCTGGCACAAACAAGAAACGGTGGCGATAACCCTGTTGCTCCATGGAGTAGGGGATTCTGGATGGAGTGCAGATTTTTGCACAACCATTGCATCTTCAAGGGGAAGCATCTGCCAAAGGGTCGACTTATGTACTTCTCTAATGGATTCTTCATTCAGTGGAACATTGAACAACATGCTTTGCATCTGTCGCGCTCACTCTAGACTGGGGTGTTGCCCTGTAGCAACTGGACCTGTACACTTAGTTCTTTCTCTGCTTTCCATCAGCAGACAGCTTTTGGGTGCTTTTCTTCCTGGGGGGCAGATTTCCATCATCAGATAACTTTTTTGGGTGCTTTTCTTCCTGGGCCAGATGTTCCCCTTCCCTCTAACATCCTTTGCCCTTCCTAGCCAGGTGTGCTAAGCGTCACACAGACTTGACGGCATTCCAACTTCCTTGAGCATAACCACTGATAAAATTGACAGTTGCTTTTGACTCCTGCAGATATAGCCAAGGCTTGGTGGGTGGGCAATTCAGGTCTTTGTCAGTTGTTCCATTATGGAATGAGCTCTGTGACAGTAAGCTTATCGGCATTCCGCTTTTCGATCTTGCACAGTTGCAGGCATTCAGGCCAGGCCATTTCACCGATGGGCCGATGGCAAAGCAATGCTGCCAAATTTGGAGCTTATTTGCTGGTCTAACTCTCCCACCCATTCTCCATTCCATCTTCTGTTCTGAGCCGTTTCTTCTCATTGCCCGTGCAAGAAGCTCTGCGACCTCAGACGTAGCCGGGTCGTGAATGTTACTCGTCCTGTCGAGTGAAGCTGAGCTTGACACTCAGACCTGTTAACAAAGACACTTCGACAAGTGCCTGATTCAAAGTTAGTTACCGTGCAACCATCACTTCTTCCTACATCAGGATCACGTCGCATAAATTGCAAGGGATCAAGGTTCAACTTTTTCAAACTTGTGAACTCTAAACCTCGACTGCTGTCCTCCCAGTCCCTAGGGACATCCATCAAAATTGGAAAGATCCACCGAAGATTAGCATGACCCCTTCGCACATATGACACACACTCAAATCCAGAATTGTCCAAATGCTTTTCCGTCTGCTCGTCCTCTTCTTCTTTCTTTAAGACACCCTTATTGCCCCTTTCTTCCCAACTCTTATGTCCACTTTGAAGCTGCCGCACATTTCCCTGCACCCCCTCAACACCCCATCCCCCCCACGCTCCCCGTCCCTCCCCCCACTCCCCTTTCCTTCATTACTGTCAGTCAGGGCGTGTGAAGCTATTTCCATTTTCCTGAAGAGGTAATTCCAATTGACCAAGCCACTTGTCACCCTCCTGTGTCACTCAAACCACCAGTACGTTTGCCAGCCAATTTTCTCGGACACGGCGTGCATGTGGCCGCGAGTTTCAGGCACATGCAGCCAGAGCAAATTGGCTGGGGGCGCCAGCCAAACGAGGTATGCGTCGGTTCATTTTTTTTTGGCGTGCACGGTGCACGACATTTCCAGCCATGTAAAAAAGAGGCTGGGAAGTACTGGTGGTTCAAAGGAGCCCCTTCCAGGGCCTGGTGTGAAGCGGGAATTCCTCAGGAGGCTCTGCATGTACTGTCAGGGTTGGACAAAAAATCCGACACATCCACCAGCTTCCACGGAGTTTCAGTCTGGCCAATTTGTAACGGGACGATGTACTGAAGCTAATCCGTGGTTTAAACCACTAATACCTTTGTCGGTTCGGAAAATAGTGGGCCTCCAACCTTTCAGGAGGCCGAAACAAAACGACGGCCGCCGATCAGATTTATCAACAGCAGCCGTTGTCGGGCCCGGCCCCAGCCTCCTAAAAGTTTGGGAATAGGCTAAAACTTGCCAAAACGAAACGGCAGAGGTACTAGTGGTTTAAGGCACCAGTCCAGCGGGAATTTTGAGGAGGCCAATTTGTAACGGGGCGGGTCTCTTGGGAGACTGATGGTTTAAACTTTAAACCACCAGTACATGGCCCCAGCCAAGTTCAGAATCGCGATTGAGCCTCTCCAAAAAAATTGGAGGCTCGGGACAGGGCCTCCGAAGGGGAGGTGGAAAAAAAAATTGTCCCGTGCCTTGGGGTGGGACCAGGCGCAGCACTGAACCCAAAAAAAAAATGCCCGCCCCCAGGTGGGCCCCGTCCTGAGTCCCCGAACTTTTGGGAGAGGCTCATTCGTGATTCTCCAGATGTACTGGTGGTTTATGCCAGTGTCATTGGCCAATTACTAGCACTGCTTACGACAAAATACTTCTAGCAGGGCCACCCTCAGCCTCCTCCTTATCTGATTTCCCACCTGCCAACCTCCTAGGTAATCCACCTTGCTGCAGTGCTTTTGAGCATGCATTCCTCCCTGCACTCCATACCACCTCCTGAGTGCATGGATCTTACTTCTTTTTTTGTTATCAAGAACTTGAGCATATGGCCATGACTCCTTGTCATTCTGGAGAGGATCCATTCAATTCCTTTCTTTCCGAGGGGTTCAGCTCCTAAGATCCTCGTACCAATGAGGAGCACATCCATCAATGCGGTCCCTATTTTTTCCGCCAGCGAATGAAAAATCATCAAATTCCACTCACACCTCTCCTCCTTAGGGCTAGGAGATCCAGGGCTCTGAGCAACGAACCTTCGGCCAGTCAAATGGAACTTCTCTCAGCTGCTGCAGCTAGCAATTTAACATTTCTACTTGAAACGGTTTTCACCTCTTTGCAGTAGCAAATGCATTTCCCAGGGTTCGATCCCTAGACCTTGCCTTACCTGTGTACAGTACCTGTGTAGACCCCGAGAGTTGAACCTGTGACCTGTGTATTCGTAAACAGTTGGTAGGMTGTCATAGGTCCGTAGGTAGCAGGGGTTCGATCYGTAGATCTRTCGAATAGAAGTCTTMGCGAAGTCTAGAAGTCCTAGCTGTAGCCTTCTAGAAGSTCAGCAAGTGGGCAAGTGGGCAAGTGGTGAGTCAAGTGGTGGACTAAACTGCAGTGCAATTGCAGTACGGCGGTGGTAGGTTAGCAGTGAGTCCCCACTCAGTCAGTGGTAAGGTCCAGTCAGTCCCAGTCCGGTCCAGCAAGTACCACAAGGGACTGTGAGCACCATGGGCCGATGGCAAAGGGCAGACCAACGAGTTTCAGAAGTATAAATCAAGAGGCAGCGCCCAGCCATTCATTCATTCCTGCGTGAGCCTTGTGGAAGCGCTGCCACAGTGACTTGTGTAAGGAGGTCTGCAGTGAGCCCGGAGCAGAAGTGGGCGAGAGGGAAGGAGCGTAGCATAGCGATAGGGTAGTTGCGGCCATAGCCGCCATAGCTGGAGTTAGTGTGTAGTTAGTGTGTGTGTGTGTCTGAGTTCAGAGAGTCGCGTGTGGGATATCCAGGGTGATCCAGTGTATGTGAACACTGAGTTGTTCGGGCGCTGAGTCGCCATAGCCAATTGAAAGTGAACTCGTATCTGGATGCCATATCTCTGAGTTTTGAGTGGCCACATGTCGCCAGTTTGCTGCGCAACTGTTTACATGCATGAAAAGTGTGAATGAGAGTGAGTCTGATTGCATTGGTATCGGAGCTGGTACCCGCTATTCCATGCGCGCCGTCGTGTGCAGGGCCTGATGCGCCGTAGTTGAGGTGGCCGCCAGAAGCAGAACTCCGCCATAGCGGACCTGAAGATTGGAGAAGCCGCCGCGCATCTGCAGAGAAGACCACGACGAAGAAGAAGACCGCGCGCGCGCGCGCGCGCGCGCGCG